GTGGGCGGGTCGGGTTTCCAAATAGACCTCTAACGAATGCTCTCTGGCAGCGGGGTCTGTTGAGAACTGGGTGCCCTTCTTGGACACGGAGTCTGTCGAATACACACGGAGACAGTTGAATAGTGGGTGCTTTCTTGGACACGGAGTTTGATGAATACCGGGTGCTGTCTTGGAGACGAGAGTTGTTTGAGTAGCGGGTGCTCTCTTTGAGACGGAGCCAATGGACTAGTGGGTGCTCTTTTGGAAACAGAAACGGACGGGCGGGCGGGCGGGCGGGGGGCGGGCGGGTCGCGCTTTTTAAGAACAAACCTCTAGCGCGTGCTTTCTGGCATCGGGTCCCTGTGATACTGGTTGGCCTTCTTGGACCGCGAAAGCTGTTGATAACTGGGCGCTGTCTTCTGAGCGGAAAACGTTTGAATACTGGTGCCCCCCCTGGAACACGGAGTCCTGTTGAATACTTGGTTACTCTGCCTTGGGACGGGAGCTGTTTAGTAGTGGCTGCTCTTCTTTAAACGGCGTCTGTTGAGTAATGGGTGCTCTCCTGGGAGACAGAGGCGGGGGTCGGGATCGCGGGCGGGCGGGCGGGGGGCGGGCGGGACGGTCGGGTTTTCAGTAGACCTCTAGTGGGTGCTCTCTCGCAGCGGGGTCTGTTGAGTACAGGGTGCCTTCTTGGACACGGGGTCTGTTGAGTACTGGGTGCTGCTTTGGACACGGAGCTTGTTGAGTACTGCGTGCTCTCTTGGACACGGAGTCTGATGAATACCAAGTGCTGTTTTGGAGACGGAAGTTGTCTGAGTAGCGGGTGCTCTCTTTGGGGCGGAGTCAGTTGAGTAGTGGCTGCTCTCTTGGAGATAGACGCGGGCGGTCGGGGTTGGGGCGGGCGGGCGCGATGGGTTTTAATATGCACCTCTAGTGGGTGTTCTCTGGCAGCGGGGTCTGTTGAGTACTGGGTGCCTTCTTGGACGCGGATTCTGGTGAGTACACACGGAGTCTGTTGAGTACTTGGTGCTCTCTTGGCCACGGAGTCTGATGAATACCGGGTGCTGTCTTTGAGACGGAAGTTGTTTGAGTAGCGGGTGCTCTCTTGGAGACGGAGTCTGTTGAGAAGTGGGTGCTCTCTTGGAGACGGAGGCTTGTAAAATACTGGGTGCTCCCTTGGACACGGAGTCGTTGAATATTGGGTGCTGCCTTGGAACGGGAGCTGTGATAGTGGTTGCTCTCTTGGAAACGGCAGTCTGTTAGTAATGGGTGCTCTCTTGGAACCAAGAAGGGCGGGGTCCTGGGGCGGGTCGGGGCGGGCGGGTCGGGGGCGGGTGGGCGGGTCGGGTTTCCAAATAGACCTCTAACGAATGCTCTCTGGCAACGGGGTCTGTTGAGAACTGGGTGCCTTCTTGGACACGGAGTCTGATGAATACCGGGTGCTGTCTTGGAGACGAGAGTTGTTTGAGTAGCGGGTGCTCTCTTTGAGACGGAGCCAATGGACCAGTGGGTGCTTTTTTGGGAAACAGAAACGGACGGGCGGGCGGGCGGGCGGGGGGCGGGCGGGTCGCGCTTTTTAAGAACAAACCTCTAGCGCGTGCTTTCTGGCAGCGGGGTCTGTTGAGTACTGGGTGCATTCTTGGACGCGGAAGCTGTTGAGTACTGGGCGCTGTCTTGGAGACGGAACCTGTTGAATACTGGGCGCCCCCTTGGACACGGAGTCTGTTGAATACTGGGTGCTGCCTTGGAGACGGGAGCTGTTGAGTAGTGGCTGCTCTCTTTGAAACGGAGTCTGTTGAGTAATGGGTGCTCTCTTGGAGACAGAGGCGGGCGGTCGGGCGGGCGGGCGGGCGGGCGGCGGGCGGGCGGGTCGGGTTTTTAAACTAGACCTCTAGTGGGTGCTCTCTGGCAGCGGGGTCAGTTGAGTACTGGGTGCCTTCTTGGACACGGGGTCTTTGGAGTACTGGGTGCTGTCTTGGACACGGAGCTTGTTGAGTACTGGGTGCTCTCTTGGACACGGAGTCTGCTGAATGCCAAGTGCTGTCTTTGAGACGGAGGTTGTCTGAGTAGCGGGTGCTCTCTTTGGGGCGGAGTCAGTTGAGTAGCGGGTGCTCTCTTGGAAACAGAAGCGGGCGGTTTTTAAATACACCTCTAGTGGGTGCTCTCTGGCAACGGGGTCTGTTGAGAACTGGGTGCCTTCTTGGACACGGAAATGGTACTGTTCTGAAGATCATGAATGAAGACTGTTGAGTACTTGGCGATCTCTTGGCCACGGAGGAGTCTGATGAATACCGGGTGCTGTCTTGGAGACGGAGTCTGATGAATACCGGGTGCTGTCTTGGAGACGGAGGTTGTTTGAAACGCGGGTGTTCTCTTGGACACGGGGTCTGTTGAGTACTGGGTGTTGTCTTGGAGACGGAGGCTTGTAAATACTGGGTGTTCCCTTGGACACGGGGTCTGTTGAATATTGGGTGCTGCCTTGGAAACGGGAGCTGTTGGATAGTGGCTGCTCTCTTGGAAACGGAGTCTGTTGAGTAATGGGTGCTCTCTTTGAGACAGAAGCGGGCGGTCGGGCGGGCGGGCGGGGGGCGGGTGGGCGGGTCGGGTTCCAAAAGGACCTCTAACGAATGCTCTCTGGCAACGGGGTCTGTTGAGAACTGGGTGCCTTCTTGGACACGGAGTCTGTCGAATACACACGGAGTCAGTTGAATAGTGGGTGCTTTCTTGGACACGGAGTCTGATGAATACCGGGTGCTGTCTTGGAGACGAGAGTTGTTTGAGTAGCGGGTGCTCTCTTTGAGACGGAGCCAATGGACTAGTGCGGGCTCTTTTGGAAACAGAAACAGACACGGAGTCTGTTGAGTACTTGGCGCTCTCTTGGCCACGGAGTCTGATGAATACCGGGTGCTGTCTTGGAGACGGAGGTTGTTTGAAACGCGGGTGTTCTCTTGGAGACGGAGTCTGTTGAGTAGCGGGTGCTCTCTTGGAGACAGACGCGGGCGGTCGGGCGGGCAGGCGGGCGGGGGGCGGGCGGGCCGGGCTTTTACATAGACCTCTAGTGGGTGCTCTTTGGCAGCGGGGTCTGTTGAATACTGGGTGCCTTCTTGGACACGGGGTCTGTTGAATACAGAGCGCTGTCTTGGAGATGGAGGCTGTTGAATACTGAGTGTGGTTTTGGTTTTGGAGGAAACCGGAACCGGAACCGGAACCAAAACCGGAACCGTGACCTGGGGGGTCTTCTTCGAAGACAGAAGAAGAAGGAAACCGGAACCGGAACCGAAACCAAAACCGGAACCGTGACCAAAAAGGTCTTCTTCGAACCAAGAGAAGAAAGGAACCCGAACCGGAACCGGAACCAAAACCGGAACCGTGACCTGGGGGGTCTTCTTCGAAGACAGAAGAAGAAGGAAACCGGAACCGGAACCGGAACCGAAACCAGAACCGAAACCGTGACCAAAGGGGTCTTCTTCGAACCAAAAGAAGAAAAAAACCAGAACCGGAACCGGAACCAAAACCGAAACCGTGACCTGGGGGGCCTTCCTCGGGGAGAGCAGAAGAAAGAAACCAGAACCGGAACCGGAACCAAAACCGAAACCGTGACCAGGGAGTCTTTCTTCGAGGCCAAGAGAAGAAGGGAACCCGAACCGGAACCGGAACCAAAACCGGAACCGTGACCTGGGGGGTCTTCTTCGAGGCCAAGAGAAGAAGGAAACCGGAACAGGAACCGAAACCGGAACCGTGACCAGGGTGGTCTTCTTTGAGGCGAAAAGAAAAAGGAAACCGGAACCAGAACCGGAACCAAAACCAGAACCAGAACCGTTACCTGGAGGGTGCTCTTCAAAACCCCGAAGAAGAAGGAAACCGGAACCGGAACCGGAACCGGAACCAAAACCAAAACCTGAAAGTCTTTTTCAGGCCTGGAAGAAAAAGGAAACCAGAACCAGAACCAGAACCGGAACCATCACCAAAGGGGCCTTTTCCAGCCCCGCAAAAAGAAGGAAACCGGAACCAAAACCGGAACCGGAACCGGAACCAGAACCGGAACCGGAACCGGAACCGGAACCAAAACCAAAACCGGAACCCAAACCGGAACCGGAACCAGAACCGGAACCAAAACCAAAACCAAAACCACCACCAGAACCATACTGGCCCCTCGCGGGGCGCCCGATCTCTCCCCCCCCCCCCCTAGACGGCCCCAGGAGGCCAGAATTACTGAGACTCCCCTTGGCGCTCGAGAGATTGTGGCAGTCCGCCCTATCGATCGGACCGCCGACGTTCCCAGACGGCCCAAGAGGCCCGCAAGGTCACCGCGATGGGCTTCCAAGCGGGCCCCAAGACGGCCCAAGAGGGCCCCAAGGGGCCACCAAGACAGCCCAAGAGGGGGAAAGGCTTTCCGAGGTCTCCAGGGTACGGCCCCCGATACAGCCGAGATGTCCCTAAGAGGCTCAAGCTTTCTCTCTCTCTCTCTCTCTTGTTTCTCCACCTCCCCCTCCTCCAACAAATCATCCTCGTCCTCACTCCTCCCCCAACCTCCCCCTTCTTCTCCCTATCTCCTCCTCGTTCTTCCCCCCCTACTTCCCGTTCTCCTCCTCCTCCTCCTCCTCCTCCTCCTCCTCCTCCTCCTCCTCTTCCTCCTCCTCCTCCTCCTCCTCCCCGTCCTCCTCTTCCTCCTCTTCCTCCTCCTTCCTCCTTCCTCCTTCCTCCTTCCTCCTCCTCCTCCTCCTCCAACTCCTCCTCCACAATCCGAACAAACCGCAGTGGCGTCCTGGCACCAGCCGGGTTGACCAGCTCGGAGTAGCTCACGCGCTGCCTCTGCGTCAGCGGGCGTATGAACAGCGCGTTCACCGCGTGGAGATCCCCCTGGGCATGACGGCCGACGGAACGCGTCATAATCTGGCCCCAAGCGAGAAACATTGCTGTTTCTCACCGGCCCCAAAAAATCGCTGCAAGCTCACGTCGGCCCTCCTGGTCCGCTGTATCACATTCGCTACAGTGCAGGCCAGTCCACAACAAACCTTCCA